GGGGAGAGAGAGAGAGGGGGGGGGGGGGGGGGAGAGAGAGAGGGGGGGGGGGGGGGGGGGGGGGGGAGAGGGAGAGATAGAGGGGGGGGGGAGAGAGAGAGAGACGGAGGAGAGAGACCAGAGAGAGAGAGAGAGAGAGAGAGAGACCAGAGAGAGAGAGACCAGAGAGAGAGAGAGAGAGAGACCAGAGAGAGAGAGAGAGAGAGACAGAGAGAGACCAGAGAGAGAGAGACCAGAGAGAGACCAGAGAGAGAGAGAGAGAGAGACAGAGAGAGACCAGAGAGAGAGAGAGAGAGAGACAGAGAGAGACCAGAGAGAGAGAGACTAGAGAGAGACCAGAGAGAGACCAGAGAGACAGAGAAAGAGAGAGAGCCTTGCTGTAAATGCTAATGTTGCTAATAAAGCTGGTATTGATACTGTGTAAACATATATATTTGTCCCCACTTGACACATCCTAATTCACAGCTTTATAAAAATGTAATTTCTTTTGGGAAAGTCTTGTCAAATAAGTCCTGCAGCTGTGAGTAAAAGTCGTGTGCAGCGGTCTGTGGAAAACGGCTGGAACTGGCTCCATTTGCCGGAGTGTAAATACTGCAGCAAGTCCCAGTCCAAACCCAATCCAGTCCTGACTCTCCCGCAGTCCCAGTCCAAACCCAATCTAGTCCTGACTCTCCCGCAGTCCCAGTCCAAACCCAATCCAGTCCCGACTCTCCCGCAGTCCCAGTCCAAACCCAATCCAGTCCCGACTCTGCCGCTCTGAGGTCCGACTGCTAAAAAAAGCTCCGTGTCAGGGATATTCGCTCGGACAGCTACACGCTTTTCTTTTTTCCTCCCAGGGCAGCATGATACTCTCAGATCATTTATAAATGAGTTGGCGGGATGTCTGCATCACGAGAGGTGCCGACACAAGTGGGTTTAGAACAGAATGTGTGTTTGAGGAGAGGCTGTTGTGGGGTCGAGTCCTCACCTCATCGCCTCAGTCGCTTTATATTCCAACCACGAAGCAAAAGAAAACGCAGACCAAGCATGTTTTGGACCGAGCATGTTCTGGACCGAGCATGTTCTGGACCGAGCATGTTCTGGACCGAGCATGTTCTGGGCCGAGCATGTTCTGGGCCGAGCATGTTCTGGATCGAGCATGTTCTGGACCGAGCATGTTCTGGACCGAGCATGTTCTGGACTGAGCATGCTCTAGACCGAGCATGTTCTGGACCGAGCATGTTCTGGACCGAGCATGTTCTGGACCGAGCATGTTCTGGACCGAGCATGTTCTGGACAGAGCATGTTCTGGACCGAGCATGTTCTGGACCGAGCATGTTCTGGACCGAGCATGTTCTGGACCAAGCATGTTCTGGACCAAGCATGTTCTGGACCGAGCATGTTCTGGACCGAGCATGCTTTGGACCGAGCATGTTCTGGACCGAGCATGTTCTGGACCGAGCATGTTCTGGACCGAGCATGTTCTGGACCGAGCATGTTCTGGACCGAGCATGTTCTGGACCATGCATGTTCTGGACAGAGCATGTTCTGGACCGAGCATGTTCTGGACCGAGCATGTTCTGGACCGAGCATGTTCTGGACCGAGCATGTTCTGGACCGAGCATGTTCTGGACCGAGCATGTTCTGGACCGAGCATGTTCTGGACAGAGCATGTTCTGGACCGAGCATGTTCTGGACCGAGCATGTTCTGGACCGAGCATGTTCTGGACCAAGCATGTTCTGGACCAAGCATGTTCTGGACCGAGCATGTTCTGGACCGAGCATGCTTTGGACCGAGCATGTTCTGGACCGAGCATGTTCTGGACCGAGCATGTTCTGGACCGAGCATGTTCTGGACCGAGCATGTTCTGGACCGAGCATGTTCTGGACAGAGCATGTTCTGGACCGAGCATGTTCTGGACCGAGCATGTTCTGGACCGAGCATGTTCTGGACCGAGCATGTTCTGGACCGAGCATGTTCTGGGCCGAGCATGTTCTGGGCCGAGCATGTTCTGGATCGAGCATGTTCTGGACCGAGCATGTTCTGGACCGAGCATGTTCTGGACTGAGCATGCTCTAGACCGAGCATGTTCTGGACCGAGCATGTTCTGGACCGAGCATGTTCTGGACCGAGCATGTTCTGGACCGAGCATGTTCTGGACAGAGCATGTTCTGGACCGAGCATGTTCTGGACCGAGCATGTTCTGGACCGAGCATGTTCTGGACCAAGCATGTTCTGGACCAAGCATGTTCTGGACCGAGCATGTTCTGGACCGAGCATGCTTTGGACCGAGCATGTTCTGGACCGAGCATGTTCTGGACCGAGCATGTTCTGGACCGAGCATGTTCTGGACCGAGCATGTTCTGGACCGAGCATGTTCTGGACCATGCATGTTCTGGACAGAGCATGTTCTGGACCGAGCATGTTCTGGACCGAGCATGTTCTGGACCGAGCATGTTCTGGACCGAGCATGTTCTGGACCGAGCATGTTCTGGACCAAGCATGTTCTGGACCGAGCATGTTCTGGACCGAGCATGTTCTGGACCGAGCATGTTCTGGACCATGCATGTTCTGGACAGAGCATGTTCTGGACCGAGCATGTTCTGGACCGAGCATGTTCTGGACCGAGCATGTTCTGGACCAAGCATGTTCTGGACCAAGCATGTTCTGGACCAAGCATGTTCTGGACCGAGCATGTTCTGGACCGAGCATGCTCTGGACCGAGCATGTTCTGGACCGAGCATGTTCTGGACCGAGCATGTTCTGGACCATGCATGTTCTGGACAGAGCATGTTCTGGACCGAGCATGTTCTGGACCGAGCATGCTCTGGACCGAGCATGTTCTGGACCGAGCATGTTCTGGACCAAGCATGTTCTGGACCGAGCATGTTCTGGACCAAGCATGTTCTGGACCGAGCATGTTCTGGACCGAGCATGTTCTGGACCGAGCATGTTCTGGACCGAGCATGTTCTGGACCGAGCATGCTCTGGACCGAGCATGCTCTGGACCGAGCATGTTCTGGACCAAGCATGTTCTGGACCGAGCATGTTCTGGACCGAGCATGTTCTGGACCGAGCATGCTCTGGACCGAGCATGTTCTGGACCGAGCATGTTCTGGACCGAGCATGTTCTGGACCGAGCATGTTCTGGACCGAGCATGTTCTGGACCGAGCATGTTCTGGACCGAGCATGCTCTGGACCGAGCATGTTCTGGACCGAGCATGTTCTGGACCGAGCATGTTCTGGACCGAGCATGTTCTGGACCATGCATGTTCTGGACAGAGCATGTTCTGGACCGAGCATGTTCTGGACCGAGCATGTTCTGGACCGAGCATGTTCTGGACCATGCATGTTCTGGACCGAGCATGTTCTGGACCGAGCATGTTCTGGACCGAGCATGTTCTGGACCGAGCATGTTCTGGACCAACTATTTTATACCACTGGACAAACACTAGTTTTTCTGCCTCAGTTATTACAGCAACAGAACACATTGGTGTTATACAGTATTTACTCTATTTAAGGAGCTAAATAAACACTAGTGAAGTATTGACAAAATATCAGAATATCAAAACAATGAATGATCACATGTCAGACACAGATAACTGACATCCATCCATTTTCTTCCCCTTAATCCATTTCTCACTGCTCCTCACTGCTCCTCCTGATCCTCCTGCTCCTCCTGCTCCTCCTGCTCCTCCTGCAGGAGCTGAGTCCACAGGAGGACGGCTGCCCTGTCTGTGACACAGCCTGTCAGTGTCTTGCCCAAGGACACAACGACAGCAGACATCAGTGGGATTCGGTGGAGAAGGTCTCATGGTGGACTCGAACCCACAACCTTCAAGCTCAAAGGCTGATGCTCTGCACACTGAGCCACTTCCAGAACTCCTCAGATCGATAACTATAAAACTGTTCAAGACAAAAGAGGCCAGACTGAGAGTAAATGCTGATTATAAACTACAGTTGAACACACACACGGACATAGTTCAGGCTTTCTTTATACTTAACGAGTCCAAGAAGAAATGTCTTCACAGAGAGAGCACTTTTAGGGCTTTGGGAATGAAAGAACCAACAGAACAAAGGGACAATGACAAGACCAGACCTTGGTCATGAACATGTGTATTCGTAAACAGCACAAGGCCCTTCTTCATGAACATGGACAAACACAAACCCCCGACGTCCAGACTGGAGCTTAAGGTGAATTAAAATACAACCACCATTTTAACCACATATGATTCAAGAAAACGATAACTTAACCCTTTAATGTTCACTCCTTGAATAAAGCAATGTATTTTTTTCTTGTTTTAATCTTTTAAGGAACATAAATAATTAGGGTTTTTTTTACTCGTTTTTTTAATTGAGAGTTTTAGGCCTTTAGTTAAAGGCTGAGATGCATATTGATGATAAAAATGCCTAACACCAAGTGATAGAGAAGCCCCCAGTGAGGTAGAGCTCAGGTCCAAGCTTCAAGTCAATAGTGACTCAAAAAGTGTTCCACCAAATGGTTGAAAAATTATTAAAGACATTCTAATGTGACAGACTTCAGGGAACACCCGGTGCCACAGTGAAGTGCCACTGTCACTATGTCCTTAAGCAAGACACTTCTCCATCATGACTTAGTTTGAGTCTGGTCTGTGTGTGAGGGATTGTTGGTGATCAGATTTACATCCCGGATAGTACCGACGACTCAATAACATTTATGGACATTTGTCTCTGTCCCTTATGGACCAATGTGTTTCTAACGTTGCATTTTCTGTGTTTGATTCTCGAGTCCCGGCTTGTAAAGTTGTCTGCCCCAGGACTGAGTATGGAGTGAATGAATAATGTGGTGTGGCGGCTCGGTGAAAAGGAAATCCAAGAGTAGAGTTTTGGTCAGGGGACAACACACTCTGAGTTATTTCAGCGCTTCTGAAACATGATGCCTCTTTGCTTCCTGTTCTCCTGATGTATGTTACTATCAAAGGAAAAAGAAAAAAACAGCAGTCGTTTTGCTTGAAGGCAGAGCTGCGGAACGTGAACGAGATGTTTGTTTATGTGCGAGCCGACAGGAGCCAAACGTCTCCAGTCGAACACAATAACGGCCAGAGCGAGGGCCGGGGTCAGGGCAGCGCGGAGGTGGACACGGCCTGGAGCGTTGGAGAAAGCAATGATGTGTCACACTGCGCTTCAAGGTCCTTCATGTAAACGGATTTAGTTCTCACCCCCACACAAACACCGCGGGCCGCGACAGCTGTCTGTACACGCCACCGTCCGCACACGCCACCGTGGCTCTCTGCCGTAGCCAAGGTCATGCACCGCTCTGCGCAGCACTAGACCTCCACGGCCCTCAGACACTCAGGGAAAAGGTTTAGTTGGCCTGAGAAAGCAGCTTGTCAGCTCTTTGCCTAACACGGAGAGGTCAGAGCGAGTGGACATGCTGGTGGTGCAGATGACACACAGGGGCAATGAGCTCATGACCTTCTGCACTGCTGCAGTTGGACAGAAAGTGATGAAGTACTCACGGAAACCCCTACTGTAACAGTCAGAGAAACACACTTTCCTTGCCCGAAGGCGGGTGCAGAATCACATTTATAGAAGCTCAGCTGTAATTCAGTGTGTGTAAGTAATGTTTATTTATTTAGCGCATTTTACAGACCAAGGTACAGACCCAAAGCACTTTACAATGTTCAGAGTCAGATTTTGTTCCAATCCTTCCACACACGGTGATGACAGAAGCGAGTCCAGAACACACTGGACCATCAGCTCCAACACCATCCACTCATTACATGCAGACCTACTCTGCATGTTTTAAATGTAAAGGTGCACTTTATTAATCCCCGTAGTGAAATTTATCCTCTGCATTTGACCCATCCTGATGCCCTATGGCTTACGTCAGGAGCAGTGGTCGCCGTAGTAACGGCGCCCGGGAACCCATCTCCAGATGTTGATGCTCGGCTTGGTCAGACCCAGAGCTGGAGGTTTTTACCTAGTGAGCATGTTTTTAGTGGTAGGGGAAACCGGAGCACCCGGAGGAAACCTACTCAGACACGGGCAGACCATGCAAACTCCACTCAGAAAGACCCTGTTCCGACCGGGATTTGAACCCAGGACTTTTTTGCTGAGAAGCGAGAGTGCTAACTACTCAGCCACCGTGTGTGTGTCTGTGTGATAAAAACACACACACACAGGGCTGAGGTCTAACAGAAGATGGTGGAGCTTCAGGCCGGAGCAGGTTGTGTTCCTTTGGTAGATTTAACATGTTTTATCTGAACCTTTTATCTGGAAACATGCTCCATTATAAAACCCACAGGCTCCAGATCCAACGAGCATCAACATCTGGATCTGACCACTTTCTCTGTGGAACTGGATTAGTGAGGTATTGTCAACAGCACCTGTAAAATATATATATACTGTATATGTGTGTGCGTGTACATCTGTGTGTGTGTGTGTACATCTGTGTGTTTGTGTGTATATGTGTGTGTAAGTGTACATCTGTGTGTTTGTGTGTATGTGTGTGTATATGTGTGTATACTTGTATATGTGTGTATGTGTGTATATGTGTGTGTGTGTGTGTGTGTATATGTGTGTATGTGTACATGTGTGTGTGTGTGTGTGTGCGTGTGTATGCGTGTATGTGCATGTGTGTGTGTGGGTATATATGTGTGTGAGTGTGTGTCTATATGTGTGTGTGTGTGTCTGTGTGTGTACGTGGGTATATATGTGTGTGAGTGTGTGTCTTCATGTGTGTGTGTGTGTTAGTGTGTATAAATGCACACACACTCCATGGCAGACCTGTAGTGCAGCAGTGTGGGGACCGTCGTGGGTGGAGCGCCCTGTGGTCAGTCCAGAATGTTCTCATTATTTATAAAGTGTTGACGGATGGAATTGAGCTGCGGCACTTTTCAGACTCGTTCCAAACTCTCTGAAAACACAACACAATCTGAATGTTTCTGTCTGTGCCAAATGTGACGTGTCCATTTCTCCATCAGAGATCAATAATGTCCATCTTATCATAATAATCAATAATCTGATCATAATTCATCTTTAGGATTAAGAAAAAATGGTTTTATTCCCAACATTAACAAGTCTAATCTGTGTAAAAAGTAGTTGTTGTATATTTTTGCGACTTCTTCTGTCGATCATTTGCAAACTTTATTTCTAGTTTTTGAAAAGATATGAATTCTGTGAACGAGAAGTGTGTAAATGTATTTTTGTATGAATTTAGACATTTTAAAAACACTTCTTTTTGGGCAGAAGGAGAACACACACTTTCCCTTCGAGCACTGAATCCAGCCTGTGTTTCCTGATCCTGTGTTTGCTGATCCTGTGTTTGCTGATCCTGTGTTTCCTGACCCTGTGTTTCCTGATCCTGTGTTTCCTGACCCTGTGTTTCCTGATCCTGTGTTTCCTGATCCTGTGTTTCCTGATCCTGTGTTTCCTGATCAGAGTCTTCTCCACGTTTCTAATCATCTCAAATTGTATGATGTATTACACGTCACCGTAATTCCGTACGGAGGTGCAGCGATGCGCATGACTGCCTTTTCTACACGCACACGCACACACACACACACACACACACACACACACCCACACACACACACACACACACACACACACACACACACACGCACATGGCGCTAAACCATGTATAAAAGTAATTACGTCCCAGTGTAAAAACTTGAGGATACAATTATGTTCCCATTGAATAACTCGTCCTTCCTGGCACCAGCTAATTGCATTAAAATGGATTGTGTATCGCCCGCTAGCATGAGGCATTAAGATTAACGCCAGGAGAGTTAACAGTGTGTCATCTCAGCCTGCTCCCACTTCTACATCTCTAATATGAGATTAGAAGTTTCAGGAAAGAAAAAAACCCAGCAGCAAAGCGAGAAGAGAGCGAGAAAAGCATATTCTGTTTCTTCTTCGGCATCTGCTCTCCCAGCTGGGACAAGACCCACACTATTCATCAGAGTCCGCACGGCTGTCTGCGCACATCCAACTCACTCAAAGGTCACGTTAAAACACCAATCTGAGATCCTGCGGCGTGTTTTTAGTTCCCGTCGCTCCGAACGCAGCCAACCTTTAGGCCAAACATATTTACATACGAGCGAGACGCCGCGTGGCTTCGTAGCAGGCCGCCTTTCTGCATCATTTATCAAGCTCTGGTTTGCCTCTAAGTTTAGACGCCCCTGGGCCCGGTTGACAATATGTCTTCTCCCATTTATTAAAATTTCACTTTGTAATGAAAGTTAAATTGGTCCCTGAGTTAGGCCGGGCGAGCTGCGGACGACTTTGAAAAGATGCAAATAAACTAAAATAGGACATTCCAAAAATGAACTGATTCTTAATAATGTTTCAGACGCTGTTTTTGAACCGGCACAAAATGGGTTTAAATGTTTTTATTTTCTGTTGTCAGTGACGAGAGCAAACATCAACCATTTTACATTATTCTAAAAGAAACCACTTAGGTCTTGCTCCGACTGTATCAGTGAGACTCTGGAGGACTCTCTGCTGTTTCTCTCTGAGGCTGAATCCAAAGACAGAAGGCCCTGATCTGAAATTATAAAAATATAAACAAGAGGATCATACTGAGTATTAACGGGGCGTTCAGACGCCGACGCTGGAACGCAGCTTCCACCAGACGCACGTTCTCTACATTTCAGACACTCGGGTGTTCAGACAGAAGTCCTGCTGCCGTGGCGCTGCTGGAAGTAGCGGGTATAAAAAGTTCACTAATGTTTATCTCCTGCGGCGCCTCCACAGATGATGGAGTAACCTTCCTGTGTTTAGAATAATGCTCTCTGATGATCATCGCTGATCACGGGGAAAAGGAAAACAATTCTGTACCTGAATATTTCTCAGGGTTTTCGGAGAAAGATTTTAGGTCTTTTCTTAACAAAAATATGTTATTCACATTTGTATCAGAATAAACCACTCTTTCCAATGGCACACCTCTGATCGCCGAGGTCTACACCAGAGCTTCTGTCAGAAACACCAGAGGAGACTGAGCCACAACACTGCAGCTGTCAGACGGCCCAGAGACCTCGCCTCCGCCCGCCTCCGCCCGCCTCCGCCCGCCTCCGCCCGCCTCCGCCCGCCCGCCTCCGCCCGCCTCCGCCCGCCTCCGCCTGACTACCGCTGTCTCCGCCTGCCTACGCCTGCCTACCACTGCCTCCGCCCGCCTGAAGTTCCGTGGGTCCAGAAATAACCCGGCCTGTCCCAGCTCGAGCACTGAGCTTTAGTCCCTGTCAGGCCGTGAGCGCTCCAGCGAGCAACTAATGCCTCCAAGAAATGGGCTCTTGAGCTCGACATTAATCCCTACAGCGTTCTTGTCCACGTCTCTCTGCGTCCTCTCTGTCAGAGCAAATGAAACGTGACACATATTCACAAGAACACGGGCTGGAAGTGTTAGACTCTGTGGGTCTGGTGCGGGGGTTAGACTCTGGTGGGTCTGGTGCGGGGGGTTAGACTCTGGTGGGTCTGGTGCGGGGGTTAGACTCTGGTGGGTCTGGTGTGGAGGGTTAGACTCTGGTGGGTCTGGTGCGGGGGGTTAGACTCTGGTGGGTCTGGTGTGGGGGGTTAGACTCTGGTGGGTCTGGTGTGGAGGGTTAGACTCTGGTGGGTCTGGTGTGGAGGGTTAGACTCTGGTGGGTCTGGTGCGGGGGGTTAGACTCTGGTGGGTCTGGTGCGGGGGTTAGACTCTGGTGGGTCTGGTGCGGGGGGTTAGACTCTGGTGGGTCTGGTGCGGGGGGTTAGACTCTGGTGGGTCTGGTGCGGGGGTTAGACTCTGGTGGGTCTGGTGCGGGGGGTTAGACTCTGGTGGGTCTGGTGCGGGGGTTAGACTCTGGTGGGTCTGGTGTGGAGGGTTAGACTCTGGTGGGTCTGGTGCGGGGGGTTAGACTCTGGTGGGTCTGGTGCGGGGGGTTAGACTCTGGTGGGTCTGGTGTGGAGGGTTAGACTCTGGTGGGTCTGGTGCGGGGGGTTAGACTCTGGTGGGTCTGGTGCGGGGGGTTAGACTCTGGTGGGTCTGGTGCGGGGGTTAGACTCTGGTGGGTCTGGTGCGGGGGTTAGACTCTGGTGGGTCTGGTGCGGGGGGTTAGACTCTGGTGGGTCTGGTGCGGGGGTTAGACTCTGGTGGGTCTGGTGCGGGGGGTTAGACTCTGGTGGGTCTGGTGCGGGGGGTTAGACTCTGGTGGGTCTGGTGCGGGGGGTTAGACTCTGGTGGGTCTGGTGCGGGGGGTTAGACTCTGGTGGGTCTGGTGCGGGGGGTTAGACTCTGGTGGGTCTGGTGCGGGGGGTTAGACTCTGGTGGAGATCAGAGAGTGTTCTTTGGACAAACCCAAACCCTCAGGGCGTGTGCGGTCTCTGGGGTGACGCTGGACTGAAGCTTCCAGAGGAGGTCCATCCGACGCTGTGTACTGAGTTTTTAGAAAGAGTTGGGTCTACTACACGCACAACATGACTTTAAACAATTTATTTAGTGAACACTGCACAGATGTTTCAATCACAAAACTAAAGTGAAGCGAGATCTGACTCACTTTGTAAAACGAGCCAATCAGGGCTCTCCGTGTGTCACAGACCAGCTCCAGAACCACATGGTCTGACTAAAGGATTGTCTGAGAAAAAGGAATCGGCCTCAGTGTCGAATAACATCATCTCCATAAACTGGGTCTGTAAAGCTCAGGTCCGTAAAACTGGTCCGTAAAACTAAAAGTCTGAAACAGGACTGAGTAGGACTGAGCCAGGTCTGAAACAGGACTGAGTCAGGTCTGAAACAGGACTGAGTCAGGTCTGAAACAGGACTGAGTAGGACTGAGCCAGGTCTGAAACAGGACTGAGTCAGGTCTGAAACAGGACTGAGCCAGGTCTGAACCAGAACCAAGCCAGGACTGAAACAGGACTGAGTCAGGTCTGAAACAGGACTGAGTAGGACTGAGCCAGGACTGAAACAGGATAAGGGCAGGTCTAAAAGGGCCATAGTCTTTATGAGTGTCTGGAATCTGCCTTTTTCAGAAAATCAAATGAACAGATTAGACTCCTGCAGTGATTGCATGACCTTCACACATCTATCTTTCTATTAAAACATAAACATCTGATCTATTTTTATTGTGAGGTCCTAAATCTCAAACCTATTTCAGGCAGATCAATAAAGTTGATCTTATCTTATCATGGAGAAAGTGTTTCATTTAGCAAACTGCACATATATATTTGAGTCTGACCCAGTCCACCTTAAGCTGCTCTTCTTCTTCTTCTTCTTTTGGGAAACTGTAGAAGATTCGTCGCATTGAGATGTAAAAGAAGTTTCCAACACTTGAGGAGGAGCAGTGTTGATTTGAGTGACCTGACAGCGCCCCACACACACAGCAGCACTCTGGGAGAGGTTTGCAGCCTACGGCACCACTCTCTCGTGCACGCCCCTGTGACAGTGCACGTGAGGTGGAGCTTCCCGGCCTCAGACGTGTTCCATGTTTTTCAGAAAAGGACTTTTACAAACACAAACCGACTACATTTGTCCAGTGTTGTTCATTTAGGCAAGTAAGAACACAGCAAGAAGGTCCTGGGGTCGAATCCCAGTCGGAACAAGGCCTTTCTGAGTGGAGTTTGCATGTTCTCCCTGTGTCTGTGTAGGTTTCCTCCAGGTGCTGCGGTTTTCCCTACCACTAAAAACACGTACAGGTCCGACAGCGCCCCCTGGAGGTGACGGCTCCATCTCTGTGTGGAGTGAGAGACACATGTAACAACTCTTGTGAAGCGCTTTGTGGTCTGAGAAAGGCGCTGTATAAATAAATATTACTTACTTACGAGACAACTCAAAGTGCTGGTTTTAAGACAGATCAGAATCAGACTTTTGTTGTTTTTGGAATGTGCTTTGGCTCATGGTGCAAACATGTTTTTAAAGTAAATATACATATGAAAAAATAAGTATAAACAGTGTCTCTCTCTCCACACAGAGCAGTCACCTACAGGGGGCGCTGTCAGACCTGCACATGTTTTTAGCGGTAGGGAAAACCGGAGCACCTGGAGGAAACTTACACAATAAAGTATATCTTATAATAAAGTATATCTTATCTTATCTTAACATTTGTACACACTAAGAACACACACAAACCTTTAGCAGAGTGAAAAAGAGAAAAATCTAACGGCGCTTCAAAGACTTGTAATTTCATTAAACATTTATTTATTTATTTATCAAAATCACAACATTATCTGTCTCGGAGGACATCACAGAAATGATCTGCCAACAACAATCTAGAGAAAGCAAACTTATTTACAAACTACAAACTCATTTAGAGAAAGTGATATAAGGAAAGAACGTATGTGACTTCCTGTTTGGAAGAACCAAACAGGAAGTGTCTGGTTCACTTCCTGTTTTTAAGCCTCGTCTAAAAACTCACTTTTAATTGATTTTGTAATGTTGATTTTTGCTGTAAATAGTGTTTTTTGCCACTGCTTTGTTTTCTCTAAGTGTTTTATTTTTGTATGTTTTTTACGTACAGCACTTTGGTCGACCTTGTTGTTTTTATTAGTGCTTTATAAATAAACTGGACTGGATTGATGTCGATGGAAACACAGGTAGTACCAGGATAAATAAAGAATATGTCTGAAGCACACACACCGTCCCACTGTGTCCGCCTTCCCTTTGCTTTGGACCGCCCTCCTGCTGTGGACCAATCACCTGCTGAGATCCCACTTCCTGCTCACAGACTCCTGAGCTCCTGGTTGGACGTCCGGCCCACCCCATGATCACCACAGGGGGCAGCAGACGGCATGTCCAGACCCTCAGGCCATCACACAAGTGCAGAGACATGGGCCTGTGTGTGTGGCGTGTCCGTATTGACAGATAGCAGCGTGATAGCAGCGTGATAGCAGCGTGATGGAGCGTGATGGAGCTACAGGAAGTGAGGGTTAATCAAAGCAGCTGCAGACACTTGGCTCGGTCCATGTTCGGCTCCACATGTGAGACACCTCCGAGTCACAGGGTCAGACTCGCTCTGGATGAACGGCATGTGTGTAATTATCTACATGTCTGAGCTACTGCGGGCGACAGTGGATCAGTGTGTAGAGCATTGGCCTTTGAGCCTGAAGGTCGTGGGTTCGAGCCCACCATGACACCTTCTCCACCAACTCCCACTGATGTCTGCGGCTGTTGTGTCCTTGAGCAAGACACTTAACCCCACTTTGCCTGAAGCTCCCACTGAAAGATCAAGGCTCCTGTGGACTCAGCAGCTGCAGGAGGATCAGGGGCTGGTGCTCTGTGGACTGAGTGTAGCTCTGACTGCCACCCCCCGACAATAATGATTATAATAATAATAATATTATTGATAGTGCACCTTAACTTTTCAGGAAACCTCAAAGTGCTACAGATTAAAATAAAAAACCACAAACAAAACAAAGCTGTCACGAGGTGAGATGATTGAGGACTCAAAATGCAGGAATGCCAAAAATTATGATTTATTAAAATAAAAGTCCAGGTAAAAACTCAAAATCCAACGGCACAAGCAAAAAGGAAACAGGAACCGACATGGACAAGACAAAGACAATGGACCAGCAACAAGAGGAGAGGAGCACAGGTACATATAGACACAGGTACATATAGATACACAGGTACATATAGATACACAGGTACATATAGATACACAGGTACATATAGACACAGGTACATATAGACACAGGTACATATAGACACAGGTACATATAGACACAGGTACACATAGACACAGGTACACATAGACACAGGTACATATAGACACAGGTACATATAGACACAGGTACATATAGACACAGGTACATACAGACACAGGTACATATAGACACAGGTACATATAGACACAGGTACATATAGACACAGGTACATATAGACACAGGTACACATAGACACAGGTACATATAGACACAGGTACATATAGACACAGGTACATATAGATACACAGGTACATATAGACACAGGTACATATAGACACAGGTACATATAGACACAGGTACATATAGACACAGGTACATATAGACACAGGTACATACAGACACAGGTACATATAGACACAGGTACATATAGACACAGGTACATATAGACACAGGTACACATAGACACAGGTACATATAGACACAGGTACATATAGACACAGGTACATATAGACACAGGTACAGGTGAAACACATCAGGGCGGGGCAGACAATCAACAGGACATGAAGCAAAGCTGAAATGAAGCCA